ATAAAAAAAGATCCTAAAACCACACTTATAAAAATAATAACAATGACAACGAACAAGATCGGCATCCGCGAGTATACTAAATTACCAATACCTTAATACAGATAACATTCAAATAATATAGAAGTAGAAATAGTGTACTATGTTACATTTATTGCGATAATGATGGGTGTATTTGTCAACATATACAGTTTATACTATAAACGATTATTCTAAATTTAAAAATACAAAATATACAGGTACACAAATTTGTACTACCTACAACCTACATTCTACATAATGTTGAAAAAAATAAATACAGTGACCGCCCCTTTTTGTAAGTCAATAATGCTCCCCAATTAAGCTTGTAACTCCCATCGCCTCCCTGGATAGCTCTTGTGCCCTCAGGGGGGGCGATATCACCCACTTTGGGAAACACTAGTCTTGGATAATGGGGATGGGTACAGCCACTGTTATAGGTAATTTAATGTATACCTGTACGCAAAGATAAACCATTGCTTACGAAAAAACGATTTTGAGCGGAGTTCAGTTGATAGTGATGATTTGTCAACAACATTTATGTCATATTATAGTAAAATAATTAAATATGCTTTATAAATTTCCTTTAATAATATTTGTTTAATTTTGTACCGATTTTCCCAGTTTTCCTACGTTGTTTCCTGTTTTCCCATGTTTTATCCCTGGTAGAAAACTCTTGAGAAAATTGAAAAATGACCTCTCTAAAGTATCTCTAAAGTGAATTTTTTTTTTTAAAAACAGCTATTATTATAAATTGAAGCAAAATTGCTGGTAGAAAAGTTATGTACAGAAAAAAAGAAGGCTGTAATATATTTTAAATAATACTTATATTTATTATATTTTCCCGTTTTTCTTTCGGTTTTTCAAATTTGATGAGAAAACTCCTGAAAAAATCGAAAAATTACCTCCTTAAAGTACCACCCCAGTAAGATTTCCTTTCAGAATAAGTGCTGTCATTGTAATTGGAACAAAATTGCCGATGGAAAAGTTGTCCAAAAAAAAAAAAAAGAGAATAATATTTTATTAATACATTTCATACATATCCTCTATTTTTTCCCACTTTTGGAAAAATCAAAAATGACCTCCATAAATTGCTATCCTTTCAATTTTTAAATTACCTTTCAGAAAAGGCATTATACTTGATACCTTGGAGCAAAATTACTCGTAGAATTTTTGAACACAGTATGTATGAAGAAAAAAATAATAATAAATAAACATCTTTGTGAAACTAACACACTCTTCGCTACACTTAGAATTTCAAATACATATATATATATATATATTATACATATTACATAAGACGCAAAACATACGGAAATTTGTTTAATACAACGATAAATGCAGAATATATACCTGCATAGAGGTAGATATTAACCACGGTTATCTAGTCTACCAAGCATGTATTCGGGATCAATTTTAAGGGGAGGGGGTCCAAAATATTTTTAATACATGAACGTACAAATAGTTATAATTATTGTAGTAATAGTCTTTGTTACATTATAAATATATACCTACTTAAAATTGTGTAGAGGGGGGGGAGGTTGAATCTCTAAAACTCTACCTGTATACGGGCTTGTAGTCTATTGTCTAATATATATATTATATATATACAGAGAGAGAGTCTAAAATAATGAAAATATGTGTTATTATTATATGATGAAGCAACGTTTAAATTATAACTATTAGGTTTCTATTGATGTGTACTATGCTCCTCAGCACCTGTATTACACCTGTATAATAATAATTATCGTAATTATTGTAATGTTGTTTTCAATACGTATTTACAACATAATACACGAATTACAATACTGCGTATTAGGTATCATAATATTTCTATATTCCATGTTATGAAAAATTAATATTTTTATGAATACCTATCAATTATATAGTATGCACTATGCATAATTAATATAATACATATTTTTCAAGGCATAATATATAAATATTATACTTAAATTAACAGAGGCGAAATCATTCTTCCTATATCTCCCTATAATATATAAATAATATTTAATTGTGTTATGCATAATCAATTAATTGAAACATTATAGGTACCTACGATTGGATAAAATGTATTATACCTATACAACAATTATATTATATTATATGGTTTTCTCAAAACTTGTTTGATCAAACAACAAACCGTTCTTATATTGCTGATTGCTATTTCAAGAGTTTATGTACTGGGTAGTAAAACAAATGTAAAAAGATACGAGCATACTTCGCACGATGAGTGGGCCACTGTTGTAGGTGAGAAGTTGGGAAAGTAAGATATAGAAGGAAATTTAATGTCTATCTTTACGTAGAAATTAATCTTTGCTAAACAAAAAACTATACTGGGCCGGATTCGATTATTCATGTTACAATTTTAAAATAATATATTTCGTAAATATATTTTTTTTCCACAAAGTAAGATTTATAATGAATCTCCCGTTAAATTTTCTAGCATTTCGGTTTGGCTTAACAATTTTATACACAAAATGTACTTTAAGTATAGTATTATTTGATATCAATGACGAATTTCAAAGGGGTGATTAGTGAATTATCCTTCCCCTTTTGGGATTATTGTCACCACTATATATTATTATCTACAACTTAATACTTCAGAATTTGTATAGATATTTAGGAAATTTTTTTTTTAAATTTACTATACCACCCCTCCGAGGATAAAGGTCTGAAATAATCACTGGGGGAATAAACCCAATAGCTTCTGCGGGTTTGAAAATCGCCTCCTCTCCAGAACTAAGATATATCCGCCACTGTTTGGTATATAGAAGAATATTGTTTTGCACATTTATTGGCCAGCACAAATATATTAGTAAGGTTAATATATGCAACATTCCTATATACACTTTAAATACATCTACATTATCTTTAATGTGTCCATATTTTACCGCCCTTCTATAAAGGGCCGTTTTAGAAAATGGACATTGTAACTATATTTCTGAAGACGAATGAGACAAGGAAATTGAGAATATTGCGTGTTTCACTGACAAATTTAGTTTGTTCGAATACATTTTTTTTCCTTTACGAACAATAAAATTGGTTTTCTGAAGACTAAGAGCAACAGTCAATAATAATATATTATATCATATCATGGTTTATCAGACAACTAAATTGGAAATATTCAAACGTTCAAAAGAATATACGTCTTCGTTGACGTATTTCCAATGTATATATTTTAATTTATTATTAGTATAGTACCGTAAAAAAAAAAAAAAACGAACAATTATTAAAAACTAGCAGTACAGAATCTTATAGCTATTAAGAGTAGGAAATTAATAATTGATAAATGACGTAAATCTACTAAAAATGTATAGTAAATACATTAGAAAATGATCAATAAAACTATTAAAAAAAAATGCTTTTAAATTATAGAAATACTAGGATTAAAAATGACTTAAAAAATTTAGCAGAAAATAATTTAGTAATTATATTGAACATAGTATTTTATAATATTAATATTCAGTAAAAATTGCAATAAGTGAGTTATTGTTAACTTATTGAAATTGCTTTTCACTGATTTACAAAAAAAAAAAAAAAATAGCTAATACTGGGGACGAGTGTGGCCACCATTGTATACGTTGGTAGTTGAGAAAATGGGATACATTAATAGTAATTTAATTTTTACCTGTAACCACCGATAAACCATTGTTAACGAAAAACGATTCGGAGCGAAGTTTGGTTGTACATGTTAAGTCGTAATATTTACGATATTCGTATAAAATTTGATTTTAAAACTTATAAAAAAAAAAAAATTACTCCATTGCGCTCAATATTTTTTTTAAAACTAAGTTCGACTTATAAAGAACCTCCTATCATGTTTTCAACCATTTCTGTAAAGTCTAACAATTTTATCCACAGACTATCTTCTAAATAAAAATTATGTAAAAACTTGCTAGATTTAAATGTTTATTAATTGCTCAAAATTGGCTCAAATGTTTTGAAAATTGTATCACGTCTAGCAAAAGCAAATATAAGTCAAAATTTCAAGTATATCTTCGAATATTTTTAACTAAATTACATTAAAAAAACAAAATTTAAAAGAATAAAAGAATTTTTTCGTAAATTTTCTCGTACTTTCTACAATTTTGTTGATTTTGCTCAATTATTCAATTATTACAAAAACTACAAAGAATATTAAAAAACGACTTTCTTGGTCACAAAGAAAATTCAACCAAATAAGAGCCCTTGTTGTTTTTTTATTGGAGCAATGTTTGTGGTAGAAAACATAACCTTAAACCATAACATACCAAACCATAACATTTAACCAGTTGTTATATTTTATTTTAGTTGAACACTCATTAAAAATAAATTATATGGTTATTATAAATTACCTACAGTTCAAAATTTTAATTTTACTTTTTCCCCCGTAAATGGTTATTATGTGCGTTTTTATATTTGCCTCAAAATGCATGATGATAGAATCAGGGCAAATGCAAACAATACAATATACCTACACTATAATAAATGTATGAAGCAAATTAAAATTCAAAGGAATAATAATCCATTATGGTAATTACAAATGTATACTTCATTAATTTTCAAATTAAATTAAATTGTAAATTCCACTTTACATAGGTACTACGCGCTCGAACGTGATTAGAACGTTGCAATTTTAAAAACGCAGACGCGTCATTTAATAGAAAACTTCCTAGTCCTGGCGATGAGTTATTAAATGTCGGTAAGGTGGGGGGGTGTGGGTATAACCTCCCACGAGATTACCACAGAGATTTGTCTTGATATCCCCTCCCCCTTTAAAACATTTTCAATTACGCCGCTGATTATGTATATTTATTGTACACGGTACCACTATACCATATGTAGGTACATAATGCGTAGGTGCCTTTCGCATACAAATATATATTATAACGTTTTTGGCGTTTTGGAAAATTGCGTTGTTGACACAGGTAACTCGTATATTATTATTTTTTTTTTTTTTTCGTAAAAGATACAAAATTATCACCGCGGTTAATTAATTGACGAAATCGGCCAAACCAAAATGCGCGTCTAATAATGTTATTACAATCGAATCGTTCAAATCCCATACACGATATCACCCCACCTAATATTATAAAAGATACTCGTTCCGCGTTCGGGGTTTAATCGATAATAAATTGTTATTATTCTTAACGTATAGGAGACGGTAAATTACCTATACAATATACATAATACGCAATATTCTATTCCAGTGATGTCTATAGTGTAGGTAGCGCAGTGTAGTGTAGTTTATTGTTGTTTGGTGTAGTGCATAATGTATATAAATGTGTACCTACCCGACACATTTTAACAATAGTTCCAATATTGCGAGTAGGTATTACTATAAATATTTCACCCGAGACTTTGACCTTCACGAAAATAACTACACATAATATAGTCGACCGTATAAAATATCGACCGTCGTCGACCGGTATACCTATAAAATGTATTAATAATTCAGAAATGTATTCAGTTTTCACGTTGTTATATTGTTATGGGTATCTACCATATAATAATATTAAAAAAAAAAAAAGGAACTCAACGCCAAAGCTATGAAAATATAATGATACTAAAATACCTAATGGTGTAACTATGCGGTGCAAAAAAATAAAAATAAAAAAACCTACAGCAAAAATAAAAAATACCGACTCGTTTAACGCTCGTATAATAATTACAAGGTACTTAAGCACACTGCTAGGTACTGTAGATGTATTTGTACGCACAATTATTTAAAATTATCGAAACGTTTCCAGTCGCATTATTATTAGGTATAATTACACGAAAAAAAAATAAATACTTTAGGGCGAGCAAATGGTTTTTTTTTCCATACGAGTTCAAGCAACACAAATAATGAATATCCATTATGTATAATGTATGTATATACATACAGAGTGATTCACTAAGCGTGCTCACCCCGGTTTTATGGCTAAATTTTGCATAATATATTCAAATTCTGATTTTTGGAATTTTAAGCGTAGTGAAAGCCAATATTTACGATTATTTAGATTTTTCACAAAATGTAAAGAGTATCCTAAGGTGATAAGTACTTACTTTGGTTTTTCAAATAAGAACCGATGTTAAAAATTCGATAAATAGACGGAATATAACTTTAAATACATTTTGGTGTTAACATTCTTGATTTCCGTCAACCCGTTGACGACATATTTCACTTTTAAGTTTAGATAGGGGGAAAGTAGTGGAGCACTAATAAAACGCCACATGCTGTGCCGCCACACAAATATACTCCATTACTCCCTCTCCGCCTAGTATTAAAAGTATTTAAAAATATAAATTTCAACTACACTTACAAATTCCATAAATCAGAATTTGAAGTAATTATGCAAAATTTAACCAAAAAATGGGATGAACACAATTAATGAATCATCCTGTATACGTAAATATAAATAACTTGCACTATGCAGTGTGTATTTTTTATAAATCACGTAAAATGTGCACGCAGTGTTAGACTGTGTCCTGATTGTATTCTTATTTCATTGGCATTTATTAAAGTTGAACATTTCATTATATGTTAACCAATAAAAAACTGGAATTTAATTTACAGTTATTAAATAGAGATTAAATTATTTAAATCAACAGGTGCTGCAGTTAGCACTGCAGACAAATAAATAGTGGACGCGAATAAACAAGAGACGAACCACCAAATGAAAATGTGGAATTCCCGTAGAAAATTTAAAATTCAAAATTCAGAGTAATTTAGCATTTACTGCTTAGATTTAAAAGGAAAACACTTATTTACATAAAAAACGATTTCGCTGTGTATTTTAGAATTCATGAGTATACCATAATACCATACCTCGTGTTTAAACTTTATCTATATATTACTTGTATAATATTAGGTATATAAAAAAAAATAAAAAAGCAGGTTTATCGAATTAAATGAAATTAAATATTGAGATCTTTCAATTATTTTTTATTACCTAGAACATAACATATAAAAATATGTAATACATAAATGTTTGGTAATCCAACGCAATAAGTATGAGTATATATAATTATTAGAGAACTACGGCACAAAGTTATCAAATACTCGTATTACAGAACCCTTGTAGATTAATAATATTTTAAACTATTAAAGAGTTTATAAAAAAAGAAAGATAAGATAATGGGGACGGGAGCAGCCACTGATGTAGGTGGGAAGTTGAGAAGGTAGGATATAGACGGAAATTTAATGTAAATCTGTAAGCAACAATAAATCATTCCTTACGAAAAAACGATTCTGAGCGGAGTTCAGTTGATAGTGATGCTTTGTCAATAATATATGTATATTATTTTATAGTAAAAAAAAAATTAAATATGCTTTATATATTTTCTTTAATAAAATTTGTTTAGTGTTGTACCGTTTTTCCTAATTTTCCTACATGTTCCCAAATTTTCCCATGTTTTATTCCGGTTTTTCACACTTGCTGGAAAAACTCATAAGAAAAGTAAAAAATGACCACTCTAACGTACCTCGGTAGTGAAATTTCCTTTTAGAAACATTGCTATCATTAAAAATTGGAGCAAAATTGCTGGTAGAAAAGTTGTGCACAGGAAAAAAGAAAGTTGTAATATATTTTAACTTATACCTAAATTTATTATATATATTCCCATTTTTTTTTTGCTTTTCAATTTTGATGAGAAAACTTCTGAAAAAATCGAAAAATTACTTCCTTAAAGTACCTCCCCACGTCGATTTCCTTTCAGAAAAATACTACACGTAGAAATCTAATCAAGTCTTCTGATAGAAAAGTTGCACACAGATAAAAAATAATAATAATAAACATCTTTGTAAAACCATAAGCTTCTTCGATTCATTCAAAATCTAAAATATATACACATTTGGGTATGTGTATATATTTTTGAGTTTAAATATCAGGAAAGTTCAACATGCTGAAGCTGAATCACAGCAGTAAAACTGTACTTATTTTGTTTACCCAAATTATGAAAACAATGCTCATTTCAATGTTGAAATACGTAAAAACATAACAATATTATACTGTCATCTCCGTAAATGCATATAATCTGTGCGTTTTATTCGTATAGATAATCGTGTTAATAAATAAAATAATGTAATGTACTTATTTGTTTTTTTTTCTCATGTACAAAAATCTATACAAAAATGTCATGATAATTCATATTAGATGACAATTTTATTTTTATAAAATAATAAACAAAGCAAATTACTTTTTTCTATACAATATAATTGTGTTTTCTACAAATAAAAAGTCTAATTAAACATGTAAATAAATAATACCAGCCATCTTACTCTCACTATTATTTATAATATAATTACCTAATAATTATTAGAGTTGATAGTGCTTATGGCTGCTTCAGGGGCGTATTTTAGAAAAGAAGAAGTATAAGATTGTATCTTCATATTTTTCAATGAAAAAACAAAATAAAATTTGTTTAACGATTTATAAAAAAAATTATACTACAGTTATCAAAATACCATGGTTGAAAAATATTTGGTTTATTTCAATAATGCATAACGAATGTATAATAATAAGCAGATAAGATCAACTACAGAACAACATAATATTTTATCAAACACGGTCTTGTTTAGACATCAAATAAAGAAAACAAGCCCGTATGCAGAATTTCTTCATGTGGGAAGAGAGACCTAAAAAAAAATATATATTAAACAAATTACGAAATTATTAGTAAATATGGTATTTTATTAACATGCATTTTTCATATAGGTACATAAAAACGCGATTTACAATATTATTGTGGTGTTTCATTATGATGTATTATTAAACACATTATTGTATACTTATATTGTACAAATATAATAATTGATCAAAAGTCAAGGGCATAAATTATGATTTTTTTATTATCACTTTTATACTTTATAGTAATCCTTTAGAAGTAAACTTACTTTTAATCTGATAAAACCAAATACCAATAACTGTAAAGATACAAAAAAAAGACAATAGGGGTTCAAAACCCCAATCCTCTCCTCCTCTTACGCATGGGCCTGCCGAATATTTAGGTAATTATCTTTGTAATAATAATTTAAATTATCTTTGGGCAAGTGGTAGACGATAGAGAAACAAAACTGAAACGCCAATTTGCCCTTCCCTAAAAGAATGACTAAATACACCCCTGGCTAAAGAATGTGCGATTATTTTTGGTCAGAAATTGGAAAGGTAATTGTTTAATTGATATCCATATATGCAATGGTTAATCATTATCAACAAAAAACGATTCTGAGTGAAGTTTGATGAAGTATGTTTTAAGATATTGTAATTTTTATGATTTTCGTCAAAATTCAAACTTAAAATGCTTATAAAAAAACTACTATACATTACATTCAATATTTGTTTTACCACTAAGTAAGAATCATAATGAACCTCGTGGTAAATTGACCGTATAAAAAATCCGTATAAAGTCAAATAAAAACTAAATAAAAAACTAGAAAATTTAAAAAGCTTATATATAGCTCAAAAATTATTAGAATGTTTTGAAAATTTGACCACTATGTTTAAAAAGGATTAATATAAGTGTTCTGTGAAAAATTTTAGTCCCTAGAATTATTATCAACCACAACTACAACATCAAAAAATAATCGGAACTAACGGAAACTGTTATTACATATTGCGTTGTCTTGTTTTCACTGCGATTTCCTTTAATTATTAAGAAAAATATGAGAAAAATAATATTATCGTCTTATCCACCAAATAGACAAAATTTTCTTTAAAAAATATGTTACACTTGACGATTGTACCAATATTTTTGGTAGAAAAGTTGTTTAAGGTAGAAAAAACGGTTGCAGATAAAAATCGTATTAAACCTTATACATACATATTTCTCTCGCGTTTAGAATCTAAAATCGACTTAAAAAAAAAAAACATTAGAAACCACAGAATGCAGAAAATAATTATTTATACATCTACTATTAAATGTGTTATTGTTTATTATAATATGTAATAATATAAATAGGAATTTTTTTTTTATAAATATTATGTACCCGTATATTTTTACCAGCCTTATATTGAAATACTCAATTTATAGTGCATAGCTTAAGCGATTTTCCTTACCATATTTAGCATATTTTTACTGTATGTAATTTCAATACTTACTACAGAGAAATATTTTATAAGTTAAAAATAAGTGGAATAAAAATTACTAACGTAAATTGGATTTTTTTTTTTTAAGTATAATGGATACCTATCTTGTACTTTGAAATACATATAAAATTATATTAATTACAAGAAAATATGTTGTTTATATTTTTAATATAGGTACTAATATTATGTGTATGTATTATAAGGTAGTTTAGGGGTACAGATAAAAGGTATTTTATCAAGAGCGCCCACAAGGGGAGCTGGAAAGTACCCCACCTCCAATATATTATGCAAATATGTGTCGAATTAGATAATGTAAAAATGTAAATCAATATAACGAATATTTCGTGTATAATTATTATTTATTTTAAACTAAAAAATGCTTTCAATTTCTAATGAAAATTGGGGTTGTTAATTGCTGAATTTTTACCTGTAAACAGACTTTTATTTAAGTACCTATGTATACTTAATATTAACATGTATTATATATAGTGGCGTAGCCAAAAATCTCCTAAGGAGAAGAGGGGATAGCATAAAACAAATATAAATCATACATTATAATAATACGAGTGGGTATTATTATGAACAATAAACACGAACCTAGGGGGGGAGGCGACCCCACAGGCTATTCCACTAATTAATACCTAAAAATATCCCAGGTATACTATTATAATGTGAGTATAATACTATAGTGTACAGTGCTACAATAATAAGACCGCAGTGTACCTTCGACCGCAACGGTTTAAAAACGACGCATTTTAGATTTTGGCATCACGTGTAGGTTACATACATACAATATATATTGTTTAATTATCTGCCTAATGGGAAGTCAACAAGAGTTGTTTTGATTGCATGTCTGTAGTACCTATACTAGTATACCTTCTTTAAATATGTTTAATAATAATTACTAAAAAAATTAATAAATAACATAGAACTATCCAGTCAATACATGTAGCGAAGTAATTTTATTACCTATTTAAAAATGTTCAAAAAATGTTAATTTATATAGATATTATAGCAATAACATTAGTGTTTGTACGTAATTACATATTTTTTTTACAGAATCGCGGTCAACCAGATAATAATGTTTATCTTTTTTATCTCATTGGCTAATGTCTAGGAAATAGAACTTGTGAATAAGTTTATGGTTATATTTTTATAATGCCAATAAAAACAACGTTTCTAAATCATGTAAACAACACGATAAAAATATAATAATAACAGAATAATATTTTGAAATAATAGTTCATAGTTACTGTACTTGGTAGTACGCAGTCCGACGTTTTTTTTTTATGTTACCTTTATTTTTAGTTATCCATTATATGTAGGGCTCATAAGTATAAAGGGCCTCGGAATTTCGGTAATCATTATTGATGGTATTGATGGTGATGTCTATCTAGTGTTTGCTAGATGTGTAAGAACATGTTTGGCAAGTTTTTACATTAGTGGCCACTATTATAATCATTGCTCAACATTAATTTAATTAAATGGGTAATACATTTAGTAAATTTAAATATTTAAATATTTAAATACTTATGGTAAAAAAAAAATATTTTTTTTATGATGAATTATAATATACCTACTTAATATAAATACTATAAAATATATTACCTAACATAAACATTATATAAACAACCTCAGTGATGGATCTAGGAAGGGTGATAGTTCCCACCCCCTTCCCGTTTCCTTACCAATATACTCTTTACTTGATTTTCATCATAAATAATATGCCTAATATGAATTTTCAAATTCGCTTCTCCACAGCAAAAGAGCTCCCAAAAATTAAAATTCCTTAAAAGCTCAAAAGTTTTGGCTATAATACTGTAAGAAATTCAACCAAAAAGACAACAAAAAGGGTATCTTGTGATTTTTCGATTAAATCATTTTTTTAGGTAGAAAACGTCGTCCTTGTTTTTATAAAATAATGAAATCGTGAAATTGTACGTTTTCCTACTTTTTTTCCCACATAAGTGTTTTATTTAAAAAATAGCGATCGAAAATCAAAATAATGACATTTATAAAGTACAATCTAGACAACTTGAGCTTTCAGAAAAGTTGCTTCAATAAAAATCGAAGCAAGTTTACTAGGATAAAATGTATCCACAGAATAAAATAAAGAACAAAGAAGAATAAAAATAAACAGTATTGCAAAACTAATAGCTCCCTCGTTACGCTCGGAATCTAAAATCAGAATCTGATGTTGAAACATTATCATCATTTTTTTCCAAGAATTTAAAATTGTCATCTTTTTCAAATGAACCATCTTCATCGCTTTTACTTCATCACTCTTATCAAATTATCAATTATGACAGTACTTTTTATATTATCAGTATTAACGCCCATTTTTGCGCGGTAGGTGGTAGTGTAGCATTCGCAGTATTGGTATATTATCAAGACAAAATTAATAAAAATAAAAGCAAATAGGTAATACAATTTTTTTTGGAAATTTCCTACTTACATCACTAAACATAAGAAAATGATGCAACAAAACTTAACGTTAGGTGCATCACTTTGTACAGTTATTATAATTGCACAAAATAATATTGTATTCAAATCAGTAAACAATCAAATTGTATGTCATCAAGAATTTGTTTACATCTGTAATATAATTTTTATGTTTTAAAACTTGTTACGGTATTTTGTTATTTTTGAATACATCTGTACAAATATATTTATTATTTTTATTTAAAATAAGGCTTCAACAGCAAAGGTTATAACTTATTAGCCATTAGATATTACATAATATTACAAATGTTAGGTGCTAGGTTTCGAAATTGCAGTATACATATAGAATATACATAATATTCTATTTTTTTATTTTATCTATTCTAATATACTTGTAGAATTTCAAACATTATATCATTACACATTGGATAAAATAACGTGATAAGTACACGATAATTTCATTATCGTACATTATCCATATATTATTCACTATCCACTTTATTATCTATGACATTATCGTGCATTAGTAGTCACTCAGT